TCTTGAACTTATTTTCCGAAGAAGCTTTTGTCTAGAACCAATAAAGTTTTTTAATCAAGAGTTGGCAGAATTGTTGGACCTTGGGCATCTCAACCCCTGGACCGAGTTGGGTCCTTATTAATTCTGCAGTAATAGGGTTAGGATTTTTTCTATCTNATATGTACTCTCTTGTTCGTGTTTTTTTTTTTATGCAGGACTTGCATTCAGATTTGAGTAATATCACTCACCATCTTGAATAAGATGAGCACAAAGACTTTTCTCCATAAATTTAACAAAAAAAACAATCCCTGAGTTTGGAGCGCATCTTAGTTTGCTTTTGGTGACTAAAAATTAAAATATTTGAGGCAAGTAAAACCATGTAAAATAGTATCTTAGGACAAATGGATTGTTCAGTTGAATTGCGTAACTTTTCTTAATTTCTTTTTCAGGTATCAATTTTTTCAACTGCATCACTTTTTTTCAGGAGAACTTCGTACTCAGGTATGATGTGAATGCCTATTTTTGAGTTTTTGCCAGGTGGACTCTTTCTACATAGTCCAAAATGATTTGGTCTGCAACATTTTTTGCCATAAACTGAATTATTTTGGGTCCCATGCACAGGTTTTCTCTGCATATGCAACATACGCATTACAAAATATGTGCTTCTAAATCCATCAATATAAAGAAATTTTGAATTTTTTCCACTGAAAAACGAAAATATCTCACCTGATGCTGATAAACGAGGTGAGCTTTGTTCATGACCTTCAGAGCGTGATATTGCACAGGTTTCCTTTTGGATTCGACGAGAAGCACCTTCCCGAAAGAACCTTCTCCGAGCACTTGCAAAATGTTGAAACTTGACAAATTGTGTTTAGATTCGGCAGCATTCGGGGGATTGGAATATCGGGTCCAAAATTCTGTTCTTAAAATCTGGTAGATACTCCTGAAGAACCTTGAAAGAAAAATGTCACACCATTTGTTTATCACTGGGTTAATCTTCACTTTTGACTTAGAATGTCCTCAGACCGGAAAAAAGGAAAAAAAATCATTAATGAACAACAATCCATAGCAAAAAACGCATGCAAACAAGTCGGAAATTGAACGTAAATTTAAATTTTCCAATATTGAACGCATTTCCACATAAAAAATCATACAGTACTCTATTTCTACGTAAATAAACGGATGTAGCGTATTGCATATTAATCACAATGCTGGCTGTTCAAAAATGAAACCATGCCAAGATAAAGTTGTCCATGAAAATCTTTCAGGTTTTTTGGAATGGAGCAGCAGAATTCTGTTCATCCTTCATTTTTTAAATATTTGTGTTCTCAATCCAGTTGAGGATTATTCTGATGCATGGAAGAAATATTCTGATTAAGTTAGTTTAAATATGTTGGTCATCTTTGGGATTGTCATGTAAAGTATTTGCAGCAGATTGTCTTTCATCAAGTGGAGATTCCTCATTTTTTGTGTTTTGACCAAATCTATAATTGGCGCATGATATTTGCACCATCAGAATAATCCTTGAGTAGATTGGAAATGCAAACACAAGTATTGAAAAAAAAATTGAGGATGAACAGAATCCTGTTCCTCCATGCCAAAAACCCAGAGACATTTTCATCAACACTTTTTTATGTTCTCAAGCCCCCTTTCTATTTTTTAGAAAATAAGAGATGCATACAATTAATGTAGGACAAACATATTCTGCTCTTGAACTTATTTTCCGAAGAAGCTTCTGTCTAGAACCAATAAAGTTTTTTAATCAAGAGTTGGCAGAATTGTTGGACCTTGGGCATCTCAACCCCTGGACCGAGTTGGGTCCTTATTAATTCTGCAGTAATAGGGTTAGGATTTTTTCTATCTGAGAAAAAAAACATGGTGACAAATCCAGATCCTTTTGTATTTATGAATCTTCAATGTTAATCAGATTTTAACAATAAAAAACCCCATCTATAACAAGGACTTTTTTATTTTCTTGAAAATTTCATGCAGGTAGAGGAAATATGTTGAACTTTTTTCAAACTTTGAGCCTCATCCTTTCTTATTTTTTCAGTTTTTGAAAGCAGTGATCGTGACAATATAATTGATTCACAACATCCTGACTTATTTACATTGAGGAATTGAATCATTAAGTCTATATTTTGCCTATAAAGAACCATCACTATATATATGGTACCATGTTTACTTGAGTACCATGTACCTTAGATTAAGACATGCACCTGGTTTTCTGATCTAATATTCAACTTGTCTAAAATCCTATCCCAAAATTACAAGATGCACCTCATGTTTAATATGATTAAAAAAAGGCAAAGTTTGGAAATAAAATGCATCAAAATTAAAATTTTGGCCTGAATGGAATCTAATAGAATCAAATAGAATTAATTTTCTTTTTTTATTGATATCATTCTTTGTTGAATTATTGACAGTGCTGCTGTTGAAAAAGTTCCACAAGTATCAAATATCATGAGCACCTAAACTTTTAAAAATTGCATAATTGTTGCCCTTCTATTTTTGCATTCAATTAAAAAAAGAATGCATGGCTCTTGAGTAAATACAGTAAACAGGTGCACCTTGATAAGTCAAACCTCCCTAAGTGAAATTTCTCTCTAATTCAAATGTTTATTTTATTGTTTGCAAGTCCCTGTCTGAATTCCTATGTGTTAGAAGCCCCCTTGACTCAAAGTATTTTTCTCTCAAACATCTTGAAGTCAAATATTCTGCAGCCTTTCAGCTGTTATTTTCTTGAAACATGAAGGAGAAAAGCAATAACAGAATCATAATGTGTTTAAAAATGAAGTAACAGACTATAATTGCACAAATGAACCCCTGTCTTCAAGTTAAGCGTTATACTGTAAACTCATTTAAGAAGTAATTTCTAAGGCCCAAAATATCCCCATTTACAGTTTCCTGCAATTCTTTCATGTTTCCCATAAAAATTCTTGTTTCCATAACTACAAGCCTTATTGATGAATCTTCAATGTTAATCAGATTTTAACAATAAAAAACCCCATCTATAACAAGGAATTTTTTATAATCTTGAAAATGTCCTACAGGCAGAGGAAATATGTTGAACTTTTTGCGAACTTTGAGCCTCCTTTCTCATTTGTTCATTTTTTGAAAGCAGTGATCTTGGGAATATAATTTATTCACAACATCCTGACATGGAAACCTCCTTAAGCAGGGACCTCTGTAAGTTGATTATTTCTTGGTCCCTTGCAATGTGACTTATTGGAGAGGTTTAACTTTACTAATACATGTTACTCAACTGTTCTTGAATATCCTGGTGTCGCACACCTTCAGGATGCGAACTCATTTCTGGCTGAAACCTTGGGGACCTCTGCTGCTGCTGGCCCTCCCGCAGTTGGGCCACTTCCCCTCTGCCGTCCAACGTCTTCCGTTTGGCATTCTTAACCCCGGGAGCCCGGTTTCCGGGTTGCGACGCCCTCCGCTGCATCGGACGCCCGGATTGGTCGTCTCGAGACCTTGGCTCATCCCCGTCGGCCATGTTTTGACGACTGACGAGAGCGCTGCTGGGGTCGGAGCCCAGGGGGCGTGGCGTGTTCAGTTGACGATCACTTGGCTGCGGACCACCTTTGTTGCCGTCGGGCTGTTGCTGATGGGCCTTGCGATTGTCCGCCATCTTCGCCCCGGGGGAAAGGAATGTAGAAGAAGATTTCGAAGGTCCCTGATGTAAGCAAGGATTAAAGGAAATTCCCGTATTTCATGGGGGTTTGGCATTGCTTTTTTTTTTTTTTTTATACGTGGGAGGAAAATAACAGTGAAGATGGTTCAATCGCTGCTGTGGGAAGCAAATTTTTATTAATGATCTCTCTTTATGATGATATATGTATAATAATAAGTTTATAGATTGACCCTCTCCCGAGCTTTGTGACTGAAGGGTTTATGTAAAAGCTGCTTCTTGAGAATGTTTTTCTTCTTTCTATGGCCGCAGACGTTTGATAAATTGTAAATGCGATGCTCATTTTTACCCAAGTCCTGGTACGATAATTTTTTGCATGTTGTCCCCAACTTTTTCACTATATGAAGAGTTCATAAAAGTGCTGATTCCCATAAATTTGTTTCTTCTTTCCGGTCACATAAATTTTCGAATGATGTGGTTATATTACTGCGGTGTGGGGCGATCTGAGGTGGGGACATGGTGTATTTCGTATTGGAAAAATAATTTCAAGTTTTAATTTTTTTAATGTCCTTGTAAACTTAATTTCAAGTTGGTATGAAACATTGTAAATTTCTTTCACGGAACTCTTCAATGCGTATAAACCATTTCAACAACAAAAATTCGTAAGTAATTTAGAGGCCATTCGATTTAGGGTAGGACACAGTTGATGTAGATGCAGTCAAGTCATTCTATCAATTTCCTGGTGAAAGTTGAAAATTACGTATCATTGTAATATAAGTTGTTCACATTTCCCACTATTATGTAAACATTCGCAACAATAAGATGTCAGGCATGTGTATGCACTAAAATGGTTTCGCTGTTTGAAAAAGATATGCATCATCATCATAAAGCATTTTCTGCAGGTCACTTTTGGCTTGTTTTGAAAAGAGTTGATTCCATTTTGTCCATGAATATTCATGCTGCGGAATTTCATCATATTAGTGAATGCATTAAATCAATCAAGACATTTAAAATTTTTGCAGTATATCAGGTTCTTGGCTAGTTGAACGCTGGTGTCTGATTTTCTCTTCATATGTAATATGTGGAAGAAGAAATTTACAAAATTTGAAACTACTGAATAATGGGTCAGAAAATGCTCCTCAATCCTTTGAAGTGATTTCATCCGAAGATTTTCCGATCTCAACTCGAGTGTACAGCTTTAAAGAAAATGGGAAAACTTCTCACAAATAAGTTATCCAAAATACCTTATGCGGATATATTAGTACTAGTAAAAATTTCCTCAGCAAGGAAGACATTCAAGTGATGCATTTTTTTATTCTGCTGAAGACACATTGAAAAGCTGCTGCTTAAGAAAAGTGGAAATAAAAAACTTTGCAACAGGTTCAAATGGACAGAAAAAAAATATATTTTTTCATTGTCGGCCACGAACAACGAGACCACGTTCCACAGACACACAGCTGAAAAAGTCTTGGACAATTTTGAAACAATTCAAAGGAGCACTGCTAGAGTCCGAGTAGCATTGCTGGACAGCATTCCTTAGTTCTTCGCAGACCATTTTCGGCGGGTCTAGAAACAGCTTGGAAGTTTCTGCAATCGCCGAATTGTACTCTTCTTCGCGGAGTTGGTTGATTTTGGCAAAGTCCCTCTCAGCTTCCCGCAGCCTCTTCATGTACTCTGACTAGGAAGGAAATTCATGAGCATTTTATTTTCTAAATAAAAGTACTGTAGCAGGAATTGATGATTTGAAATTTTTAAGTTGGTATTGCAATTATGCAATTTGGGTATAATCCATTTGAGAATTCAAGCCCTACAGTGATTTAACCCATATGCAGCAAAGTTGGGATATTTTTGAAAAATCTTTTGCCCATGAGCTCTGATGACAATTTAAAAATATTCAATTTTTGCTCTGATGCCCAAGTTGGAAGAAGTCCATTATTTTTTATAGCCCTGCAGAAGAATTGCCAAAAAAATTCTTCACTTGGTGGCTTTTTTCAGGAATTCCTTGCATAGGATTAGCATGATAGATTTTGGAATACAAAAGGATTTACTCTTCCCAGATTTTTACCAACTTAGGCCTTTTCCCAACCTGGGTGCATTCCAGTGACCTTATTGGTCAAACTGAAATGCTCTGACCCCAAAAAATTCCCAACTTTGCCACAGGATGGCCAGGAAACCTTTGCTGTCCAAGGGTCAATGATAACTTGATGTCATGAAAATATACAGTGAGACCCCCACATGTGGACACCTTGACCTGCGGACAATTGGACATAGGGACACTTATTTTATCATAAAAAATTAATAAAAATGACCCAACATGAGGACACTGACTCAACATAGGGACATTTTGTTATGAAATTGCAAATACATTCAAGGCCAAATTAAAAGAAACAGATATTTCCAACCCTAAAATTGATCCAAGAAAAGTTCTTTTGCATTTCTCTCACCAATTTACCATCCATTTTGCTAATTTGAAAAAATTACCTCCAGCAGAGAGGGATTTCCTTCTTTATTTTTCACTTGAATATTTTTTTAACAGAGAATGCCAACATTTCTATGTACTTTACAGAGGTATAAGTATTAAATTCCCCAAATGCCCATACAAGGGTTTTAACAAAAGTTCTCGGAAAGAAAATGAAGATGGCGTCTAATCGAGCTGGAAAAAAATTATTTTTTAGGGCAACCATATTCTTTGGCACACAAAAAAATCAGCCCAGTTTGACAATTTTTTTTGAATTTTTTGCAAAATTTACCCTGGAAGAGTTTTGCTATACACTCAACAGATGAGGCACCCTTCCTGCAGCTTTCTTTTTTTTTTGTGGCCCAGTTTCCCCCTCAGAATTCTTGAAATCAACTTGGCATTTTCTCTAAGGGTTGCCTCCAGGTCATCTAAGGCAATTCCGCCATTTTCATCGACAGCCGCTGTCACAGCCGCCGCCGTCACAGCCGCCAAAGTGGCGGCCACTTTTTTTCCAGCTCGAAAGTGGCGGCTGTGACGGCGGCTGTCGATGAAAATGGCGGAATTGCCTTAGATGACCTGGAGGCAACCCTTAGAGAAAATGCCAAGTTGATTTCAAGAATTCTGAGGGGGAAACTGGGCCACAAAAAAAAAAAAAAAGCTGCAGGAAGGGTGCCTCATCTGTTGAGTGTATAGCAAAACTCTGCCAGGGTAAATTTTGAAAAAAAATATAAAAAAATTGTCAAACTGGGCTGATTTTTTTTGTGCCAAAGAATATGGTTGCCCTAAAGAATACTTTTTTTCCAGCTCGATTAGATGCCATCTTCATTTTCATTCCAAGAACTTTTGTTAGAAGCCTTGTATTGTGTTGAAATATATTGATTGTAATCATTTTAAATTGGGAGAAAATTTTTATTTTCATGGAATTATGGTGAGTATTTTATACATAAAACACCAATTAAAAATTATATAATGTAAGTCTAAGGAAAAATGAGACTTGACTTAGGGACATTTTGACTTGGGGACACTCTTGATGCACCAATGACGTCCACATCTTGGGGTCTGACTGTATAGTGGCAATTGTACTGTGGTTGAATAATGTTGCAAAGAAGCCCTGAGGACATAAGATTCAGCATACCTTATGCAAAAATCCCTTATGCATGAGGTCTTTTAGGCAGGGGCCACTGTATAAATTATTCTGCAAGTGTACTCATTACAAGGTAATATTATAAAGGTATATTCTCTCTACAACAAAATCCAAGTGACCAGCAGGAAAAATTCATTGTATATATAAATGTTTTTTTCATTGAGAATCCCTAAAACATGGGAAGGGAACCTTATGGCATCAAAAAAAAATTTTGCACAGAATATCTTCGGGGGCAAGGTCGTCGTCGCAAAGAGATTATACACTCATTGTACTGTACATATGAAAATAAAGATTAATTGAAATGATATTCGTTCCAATGATATTCGTTCCAATGATATTCATCCCATATATATATATATATATATGTGAACAAGATTGAACTCGAACACGCACTTGTATGTTGCTCAGCTCCTTCTCCTTTTCCCTGCGCAGGCGCTGGAAAGCAGCAGCAGCTTCTTCCTGGAGCACACTCACTGCTGCTGCTGCTGGAGCACCTTGCTGAGGCACAGGTGGTGCTGGAACCGGTGGTGTTTGGTGTGCAGGAATGGCATCAGCTTCGCCCTGGAATTCGCCATCAGGGTTCAGAGTGCCCTGACTGCAGTTCTGACCGGGCTCCGGGTGCGCAGTGTCGTCGGGGTTGTCGGTGCCCGAACTGGGCTTCGTGCTGAATTCTGGAGCAGCTGAATCCGGGGTTGGATTCGGAGGGCAAGGATGTCTTTCCGGTTCCACCGCGTTGTTGGAGAGATTTCGCTGGAGAAAAAAAAATTTAAATGTTTATACCGTGAGGGGAATTGGGGATACAATTTTAAATATTTTTTGAGAAGTTTATGCTGTGTGCCTCACACACGAATTCAATGGGAAATTTTAACTAACCCTTTTTTTTAACAGAAACAATTAAATATCACCTTGAATTTTCCAATAGACACCCCGTCTATTATAAAAAATTACCCCTATCCCCTGGCATTTATTGGAGACTGGCGTTTATTTAAAAAAAAAGGGAACCAGCTAGATTGGAAATTTCCAAGGCAAAAGCACATTGAAAGACTGAAAATGAAACCTGGCCATAAAAGGGGATGCATTTGTTCATTGACTTGATAAGTCCACAATGGGGCCATATGCAGTAAAATCTTATTACAAAAAATACATGACTGTTTTGGGACATATGACTGAAAAAGATGTCATGATAAAAAAAACACTTGAATTCAACAACATTGCCATTGTGGCTACTGCTGGGCAAGGATTTTGAGAAATCAATCATTTTTGCAGTACAATAATGTGTTAAAATAATGAGATTTTATTCAGCAATATTTCAATTTAATTTATCAACTGAGTACAGTAAAACCCCAATTTATTGCCAACATCCATCCCAAGACATTTTGTGGCACTAAGCAAGGGTCACACTAAATTGAGGGTGTAATAAAAAAGAATGGTGGTAGAATTTTTTCCACCAAAAATTAGTAAAGCAGGAATGCATGAAAAATATTAAGGAATTAAACTGAAAGAATGCTCCAGGATGGCATCTTTCTTCAGAATTTCACACAGACAGAACTTTATTTTGAGGGAAAGGGATTACTTTTAAACACATAAAACAAAACGCACATCCCCCTTGGTTTTACCCCCTTCTTTTACCCTGTATTGCACCAGCAACACATTGCATGGATGGAAAATCTGTATCATGAAGTGTATCATGATTTCATCAGACATCAACCTAACAAAAGTCAGATACCTGATCTGTCTGGAAATATCCGCCATTAGCTGCCAGAACATGACCTTCAACATTTTCAGCATTATTCCACTGCGCACTGAGGTTCTGCCCGTGAGCATTCAGATCATATCCGCTTGTGGCTCCATCTACTGTCTCTCCAGCTGTACAATTTTCATTCAAATGCACTGATTCTTGTCCACCCATGAGTGAGCAAAATGGAAATATCCAGCAGAATATTCATATATTGGAGATACTGAGATTCACAGACGAAAGTAAGGTCGAATAAGTTCGTGAAGTATTATTCTAGAACAGAATTTAGCAGAAGAAAATGAAGTTTGAAAGTTCTCCGAAACACGCATGACGACCAAAAATGTATAAAAAGGCAAACAAATCAAGGAACCTTTTGAAGGTGAAGCTTACCTGAAACCCTTGTTGACCGAATCTCTATTTGCCACAGCCTCAAATAAACTATCAAGGATTTCATGAAATTAACCAGAAATGTCACACTGAAAGAAGAATAACTCTGCACTATTACAAATACCGGATCAAGTAGTTCATTCCCTTGCCAGCGAAAAAAGAAAACATAAAATAAATTATGGAGAATAAAATGCAAGATGTGCTGCCGTTTGCCAACACAATAAACGAGAGATCACAATAACCCTGATGTCGACGCAACTGCTGGTTTTCTTTTTCAGGAAGTCAAGTCTGCGAGTTTCAAAAAAATAATAAGTTTAAAAAAAACACTCGACTGAATATTGGAATATTCTCTACTCACTGTTGCTCATTTTGCACTGCTTTAGAACTTCGTTGAACCCGCTACAGAGTGTCAAGTCCGACTGGTTCTGGGCGCACTCCAGAAAATTTCGGATTTCGGCAGCACACGGGCTGCTCATTAGGCCATCTTGCGGAGAAACCGAGGAACTAGACACGGGAGTAGGTGGAGCCACTTGAGTGGGGGTGGCGGCAGGACTGGAACCACCCCCAGAGAATGCCCCTGTGAGGGCGTGTCCAACCACATGGCCCTAAGATTTTTCAAGGATCAATCAGACATTATTTTTTGGTACAAATATAAGACCTCAGTGGAGCATTTCTGTGACAGAATTGTTTATGAATTATTTTTGACATGATCTTAACCCAAAATTGGAAATGTTTAGCACATCGAATAATGGAAAATTTAGTAATTGTGAATATTAAAGTTTGATGATTTTCACAAAATGAATGTGGCATTAAATTGGGTACATTAAATGGAGGGTTAAATGCATAAAATACAATAATGAATGCAGGATATGATATTTTCCTGCCAGGTAATCCAATGAAAGATTTCAAAATCCTCAAACACATTTCATGGAATAGTTAGGATCCATTTAGAAAAGGCTCTACAGCTGTCAACCCCTTCACAATGATGGACCTCATAGGCAAAAGATTATTGTATAATGGACCACCTATATGGAGGTGGCTTTCCCTCCCACACAATGGACTAAATCCACATGCCTGACTTTGTTGGTTTAAAATTAACGCTATCAATAAGTAAGTTTTTATTTTGTAATAATTGAATTAGCATAAAAGACTATATACATAATGGACTAGTCTATTGCATGAATTAAGTCTGTTGTGCAGGGGTTGACTGAATTTCTGAGCCTGTAAATATGTTCTTCTGAGAAGTGAGAATGATTCTTGAGCATTGGATTTACCACAGCAGATCCAACAGCTACTCCTCCAGCAGTGGCGGCCATTTGCTTGAACATGGAAGGCTGCTGGGGTTGTGCCTGCACTGCCATGGGTGGTGGAGCATGCTGAACAGGTGCTGGTGGTGGGTGTGCTGACCTGTTTTCCAGTGCCACATAACAAAGACATATAGTATATTAGCTTCAACTACAGTCAGGATGGGGTTACATATAAATCTGATACACTTGAGTAAATATTTTATTTCTGCTAAAAGCTATTTAATTTTAGAAGTTTTTGCATAAGTTGACTGTTTTGCATTACAGTAAAATCGTATTACAACAAACTTGTGGGGAATTCAGAGAAATTTGGCTATAGTAAATAATTTGTTACATTTTTTATGAAGATTTTCTCATAAACTGCATACAGTCAACATCTTATTTTTGTGGCCTTTCAGATATTTTCAGTACATATTTAAAAAGTGTAATCTTCAAAAATAAATTCAAGTGTTAATAATGATGCACATTCAATTGGTCAATCCCAGCACTTTTTGTTAACTTCTAAGTTTTTCCAAGCAATTCTTATGGAGGTTTGTAAGGGTGATAGTTTCAAAAAAGCTAACATATTCTAAGCATCATTACATGGTTTCTCAAGCATACAAACCCTTTTTAACATGGGTTTTGTTGGGTTCATTTTTGCATCTATTTTTTCAAGAAATCACAACATATTCCATTCAAAGTTTGTTTAATGAAATTGGTGAGTTTATTATAACAAGAATTTTATATGTACCCTAAAAGATTTCTGCCAGAACTCTGAGAAACAATTTTTTCAAAAAAAAATTCTATGGTATTTATTGTGATATTTTCCTGTACTGTATTTGGCATACTGTGTTAACTAAAGTACTCAAATTACCAGCACACACCCTCAAGTGAGATGCTGACCTTTGTTTTTTGGCATGCAACTAACAATAAGTGTATCCCTGCATATTAAAGGAAGTGCAGCCTGAAATGGTTGAGATTCAATTTTGCAAGTGAGAAGGTATTGAAGAAAATAATCACATGAATGAATCTAATAATGGAGCATTTTAATTGTATTTACTGTTCATTATTTGCAACTGAAAAAAATCACTTATGACTTTCACTGCAAATTCCAGTGCTGTTTGTCTTCAAAAATAATGTATTTTCTTGCATACAATGTGCAACCCATTTTTCCGCTTTTATTTTGCAGAAGCAAAGTGTCCTTGGTACTTTTGGTAAAGTTTGTACTTTTGTAAACTCAGTAGGGAGAATATCTCTGGAGCATTTGCCACTCAGCAATCAGTCCAATGACACAGAACTGCTCCAGTTTAATGTCCCCCTGAAATTCATCTCATATTCATATTGACTATTCAGTTTATATGAATCTATAAGCATGAAGCTGAATTTGCCGCAAATTCCAACAAACTTTAAATCAAATCAAACCAGTGCCAGTGAAAAATGCCTCCTTTTCTATAGCTGCTGGAAATCAACCTTCAGAAAATATTCTCAATTCTAATCATAACAAGGGACGAGATAACAGTCATTAAGCATTGAACATGCAACCAACTTTGATAGTGACATTGCATAAAGTATCAGTGAGGAGGATTGCATAAAACGGTTTCATCTTTTAAAAAAGAAAGAAAAAATTCTTCCAAAAATTGCTAACTTTTTTCTTTTTTTTTTTTTGCTGGGGTGTGGCTTGCTCAGGTATGACCACTACACCTACAGGTAGTTATAATGGAAGAAAAACCATGTTCTGAGTTATACCTAAGGAAGTTTCAGACGTACCTCAGGGCAAAGAAGTGTTTCAATATTTAAATGAGATTCACAAGATTTCTAGATCGACAATCTTTCCCTCGAATCTGCTGTGGACGAAAAAAAAAAGAAGGGGAAATATCAAATCAACTTTATACCTCAAGGCTGGAGCTGGACGACGAGAACTTCGTGGCATGATTGCTGATGCTGATTGACACGATATGAGATTAACGAGGTTGGTGTGATTAAAACGCAATTTGATTGCGAATCTCTGGGCACGGAAAAGGATTACCTATTCATTGATGAAGGACGAACAAGCGGTTGCTTCGGTTGTTTTTATATACTGTGGGCACCAGCTTTCTGAAAATATAAACTTTTGAAGGTAGATTTTATGACTGAGACATACCATACTGTAGCTTATAGTGTTTTTACAGGATACAGAAATCAGGCAAAAATGCATAGTTCATCATAAAAGCTCATTTCAAAGACCACATTATTTGTATTGTTTTTTTATTTATTTATTTCTTGAACATGCGAAATCTTCACAATACAAATGAGATTCAGCAAGATAAAAAGACCTTCAATGTGGAACAAAGGAAAAAAGAGATTTCATTTTTCATTCATATTCATTTCCTTCGCAACGAAAACGATTTTGTTAATCTCTTGATTATGCCTTGAAATCCTGAGTTAAATAAAGGGGTTTTCTGAGAGTGTTGAACCTCGAATATGTCAGTCTTTTTCAGGCGACAAAAGAATGCCTTCGGAGGCATTCCCTTGACTGCGTTTTTGTTCATCTTGTTCGCATTGGCTTTGTTGGCGTATGCACCATCAGGAGTCGAGGGTGCCATCAGAGCTAGACGACCTGGAGGAGTAAGATTTTCAGTGTTCTGAAACAGGTTTTATATTTAATGGTGTATATATACAGGCTTGAAATCAAAAGTAAATGTCATAAAGCTGTCAAATAAATTTGCTAAAAAACAATCTGGTTAAGTAAGTTTTCTCATATTTAAATAAGATCAAAATTTCTGAATTGAAAGGCAATACACCGTATTTACTCAAGTACCACAAGCACCTTTTTTCCCAAATGTCAGAAGAAAAAAAGGGGTGCATGTCATAAACAGGTACAAAAATTTCAAGAAGTTTTAGGAAGTTATGTGTGCATTATACTTGATTATAATGGAGATATTTTGAGCAAATGTAAGAAGAAAACGTTTTTTTTACTGAAACAGTTGAAAATTGATCAGATTTTTTTTCAATTCATGCCTGAAGTCAATTTTTTTGGTTTCTATTTGCAAAATTTTTTGGTTTCAGATTCACTCAAAATTGGTGTGGGCATCTTACTTGGGGATAAGATTTTAGCCAAATTTCCAACTCAAAAACCCCTCTGTGTGCCTTACTCAAGGGCACGTGGTACTCGAGTAAATACGATAAATTGATTTTATCACTATTTAAAAATATGGCAGGTATTTTTGGGATTATTCAATTGCAGAAATCACAGGTTTTATTTTACCGTATTATAACCACAATATGGATGTGTTATACAGCAATACAGGCAAACCTCCATAACTCAAACCTCCCTAACTCAAATACACCCCCCCCCCCCAAGTTGAATTTTTTTCAGATCCCTTCTGAATACCCTTAGAAAAAATGCACAAAAACCTCCCTAAGTCAAAGGCTTTTCCCCTCAAACCTCTGTAAGTTGAATTTTCTGTGGCCTGTTGGCCATTATTTTCTTGAAAAAAGAAAAAAGCAAGAAAAACATATATGTTTGTGTTTTAAAGGAAGTGAAAGACTTCAGTGGAAAAATGAACCAGAAGAATAAGGAAAAAATTAGTATCACCTTTTATTAATAATAATAATGAACCATTGAGTTGCCACTCTTAAGGAGATGTGAGACTTGTGACTGATTTGTTCCTGTGCAAGTTGTTGGAGAATCTTCTTAGAACAAGAAAATGCAATACAGGTGGTGCCTTGCAATATGATGTCCCGTAATTTGATGGTTGAATTTGCTGTGGCATCAACTTGCAATTTGACTTCTGGTCCCACAATTCAACCTGCAGAGAGACTCAAAATGTCATATTCAAAATAGAAAACATTGAATTTGATGTTGACACAATGTGATGGCTTCAAAATGTGACCCTTACCCAACAATGGATTTGGGTCAAATTGCAGGGCACCCATTGTACAGTCAATCCAATTGTACTTTCCGCCTACAATGAACTTGATCTTCTCTTGGTTTCTACCCAGGCTTGGATCAGTTTGCAAATGTTTTTTGTGGCAAAAACTTAAAATTTCCAAGAGAAAGTATTGGAATTGTTCAAATATATTCAGCTCATGAACCTGCTGGTCAAAATAAGTTTGTTAGCTGAACCCCAATCAAGTACAACTTCAACTTTCAATTGTATCAAGTACAGTTGAACCTTTGAAGTCCAATTTCTAGGGACCATGAAAAAGATTTGGCTTAGGGAGGTTTTGACTTGAGAGGTTTTTATTTTTTTAAGGTTTCCAGTTATTAAGGAAACACTTCTGCTGTGAGGAGAAGCAAAAAAAGTGTGGGAGATTATAAATGAGGATACTTTGGGCCTAAACTATCTCCTTATGAGTTTATACCTCTTGCTGAACTTGTAGGCAGGGGTTAATTTGCTTAAATAGTCTTTGACTTCCTTATTTCAAGATGCATCAATCAATGGTTTTAATGATTTTATTTCATATTAAAGGAAATACAGCAGTAACCAAAAGGACTCAGAAAATTTAACTGACAGTGGTTTTAGAGTAAAATATTTTGAGTCAGTTAGGTTTTTAAAGCATTGATTCTAAGAGAATTCAGACAGGGACTTTAAAAAATTTCCACATAAGGAGGAATTTGGGAGGTTTGACATATTGGGGTTCACTGATATTTCATTTCTCTGAATAGAATACTGTAAAACTTTGTTGCCAATGCAGTTACTTTGGAAAAAAGCATGAACAGTCTATACCTGCAAAAAGTGTCCGAGTATTTGTGTTTACTGATCGCAATTTTCTGTGAAAATTGATTTTGAAAAATCTTGATCTGAAGATCGTCTTTCTTGCATTTGACGGCAGATGATAATCATGGACTGGCTTGATTTTTTCCTTCTTTTATGAATTTTAAACATGGTTTATTAGACTGAATTAATCTATTGCATGAGACCTGCGATTCTTCCTTTTTTTAGATCAAGATTTTCGAATCCGATGAGAACATCCACCCCGCTTTTGATAACGCGATGAGTGACGACGATGACGACGAAGCTGATGATGGCGAAGACTCCAGCGAAAACGAGGTCCATTATGCTACAATATTTTCCTCATTTATTTTAATTTATGCATTTCTCCAAGATATCTGACGAAACTAATAATGCAGGCAGTTTTCCGCAGGTATATGAGCAGAAGCAATTTAGGTACTAAACTCACTGTAAATATGTAGTAACACTGTATTTGTAATTAAGTTATTGAGGAATAATATCTTTTTTTGTCCCTGCGAAAGTAAAGAATTTTGAAAAGGATATTGCATGTCTTTACTTTGTGAGGAGGAAACAGAGCTTGAGAAAAATTTACAATCGAAGAAATTATCTTGCTGACTATGCTACTTCAATTGAAACCCAATGATAGCGAAGTTTAGTAATTTTTTTTTGTATTCGTCATGCAATGAAAATTGCAGCATCCAGAAGATCTTTATTGAATAAATTGTTGCTGCCTTCCTTTTATTATGTTTGTTCAGAATACACAATAATGTTTCTGTGCGTTTGGAGGTTTTTATTGGCGCTTATTTATGTATCCACCAACTTTTTAAAAATCAGGATCCAAATTTTGTGCTTTCAGTTATGTTTTGTAGTGCTGTATTTACTTAAGTACCATGCGCACCTTTTTTCTCAAATTTTGGAAGGAAAAAAGGGGTGCGCATCATAAGCAGTCACAATTTTTTCAGGAAGTTTTCTGTGCATTCTAATTATACTGGAGAAATTTGGAACAAATGTACCAAGAAAACTTTTTTCTCCTGAAAAAGTTGAAAATTGATTAGATTTTTATTCAATTCATGTCTACAGTCAATGTTTTTGTTGTTATTTTCAAAATTTTGTGGATTCAGATTCACTAAAAATTGCAGTATGCGTCTTAATTGGGGATAAGGTTTTAGAAAAATTTCCTAATGAAAACCCCCTGTGGGCGCCTTACTTGAGTGTGCATGGTACTCAAGTAAATACAGTAGGACTCAAGGGAAGGCTTTAGAAAACTGAGCTGAAATTTTTTTTCCTAAAAAGAGAACAGGGATTCAAAATGGAAAAACGAAGAAGTGAATCTGCATTATTTCAAAATTTCCGCAACTGTTCAATGGCCAAGAAAGATGCCATGACAAAAGCCAGCATCTCGGTGAAAAAGAATCACGTATGACAATCGTGATATGTGAAATTTTAAATTGTTTGTGGATGTCAACACGTGCATATCGGCAAAAGTGGATTTGCAAGAAAAATCTCTGGTTCCTTGAACACGAACAAAATATTTAAATAATCTGTAACTACAGCATTTAGCGAGAAGCTGCTGCGGGATAAATTGACTTGAAAAGCTTTGCAAATTCTCGTGTATTTCTACAAGTATAGGCGAGAGAAGATGAAATCTGCGACGAGGATTCTTGCGTAGATTCTGAAAATTCGCCAGGAAGAAACAGACAAATGAGGCGAGCAGGAGATTCCGGCATGCGGAAGCCAGGCATGATGAGGAAAGTGAAGCGCATTCGGCGCAAGAGCAACCAGCGAATGTTCCTCTCCGGCAGTGAGGTGAGTGAGACGCATGAGTTCTTCCTGGGTGGGTGAAGTGACAGGTTCCGTTCAACGGATTAAATGTATCAGGTAACATGCGTAACAACAATTTCTCAATATAGGGACGCCTTTTTCTGGCAAATTTGATTTGTTTAATCATTGTCAAGAAAAAATTAAACTTAAACGAATTCAAGCAAGTAATTTACATGTTTCAGAAATGAGCCAAACAAAATTCATGTTAATCTCTTGACACATTTCTTGTAAGCCTGAGAATCAAACGGAGGTTTGGTTCCCAGGCTCACCCAAGGACAGTTTCTTCCAGATAGAAATTCATTTGAAAGCTCTTTAGCTGTTATCAAACAGTTTATCCAGAATAACAAGCTGTTAGCTCGGAATTGAAATCTAGCTTCTTAACTTCAGATTCTTTTTTGCCTTTTGTGTGGTTGAGAGAACCCTTCAGGTGCTTTTCCTCACAAACATCAAGTTTGTCTGTCAAGAAATTAGGTTTCCCGTTTCAAGGTAGAGCCTGTATTTTTTGTTTCCAAAAGTTGAATGTACTGGGGAAACTACAGAACATTCTCAAAAATTTCCACATGCCAATGACAAAATCTGCTATTACTCAAATACTCATACAATCCAATTTAACCTTTATATACAGTTGAACCTTATAAGGTCAAATACCTCCCTAAGTCAATTTTTGCAAGTCCCTATCTGAATTGCCTGAGAAAGAATGCATTAAAACCCTCCTTAACCTGAAGGCTTTTCCTGTATAACCTCCATACATGTTGAATTGTTTGAGGCCTTTTTGCTATTATTTTAGTGAAAAAGCAAAGAAAAAATAATAAAAATGGAATTTGCTATTGCTTTGAAGGGTGGGATAGACTAAATTGAGCAAATGAACCCCTGCTTACAAGTTCAGTCCCCTGACAATCCAGTTTAGAAGCAATTTAAGGCCCAGAGCATCACAATGTACAATTCAGTGCAATTCTTCAATGTTTCCCACAATAAAAATGCATGATCCCATATTTTGAACATCTATATAAATCAAAACCTCCCTTAGCCAAAATCTGCTTAAGTTGAATTTTTCGCTGGTCCCTTGAAATTTGACTAAGAGAGATTCAACTTCATGTTCATATTTGACACCAAAGTGTTCATTTAAAAGACAATTTTTTTTCGTACATATCCTTCAAGCATGACTTGATTTGATACCGCTAGTAACGGTAATATGAACCTCATTTTTTTGTAGTGAATTTTCTTCATTCAGCAGTTCAGTCATTTGTCTCAAGCTTTGGTTTGAGTTCCTTTATAGCTAGGCTGAACATGGCTTTTTCAGGATTTACCTATTTTCCATGAAGAGCATGACTCTTATCTGTAGGAGATTATTTGATTACAGCATTTAAATCAATTGATATTGTGGAGAATCTAATTTTTTTTTCTGAGGATTTCTGAATTCAATTCAAAATATATAAACGTCTCTACTCATTCATGAATCAGTGATGCATGCATACGTGCAATGCTTTTCTAGCTTCAATAATGCTTTAATTCATAGACTTTTTTGAGGAATCTGGGTCACATTTAAACATTATACCCCCAGGGCATGGATCTGAAAGACGAACCGGGTCACTGGCACTGGTATTTGCTTTGGGGATCACTCTTGGTTGGAACATTGACTATAGCTGGTAGCAATGTTAGTTACTTCTATGTTTTGGTCAAGTCCCAGGTTGTGGATAAATTCAAGCCAGTTTTCAAGAGTGATGATGGAGAAGTGAGTATCATCAAGGTGTATTTATTGATGTTGGTGTTCATTATAAATGATTCATTGTTCATGTTTTGTCTGTTGAAATTCAGTCTCTGGAGATGAAATACGCTCTTCTCCAACACGACTTCAAGAAGAATCCAATTCGCTGCTTTAATTGGTGCCAATTGAAAAGCCTATTAAGAAGTCAGTGTCCAAAGTGTCCATCTGAATTGAAAGCAAAACATGCCCAACTCGGAGGGAAAATCAGGTACATTTTTGCTGCGAAGCTTTCATTAATACATATTGAGTTATCAGCAGGGTTGTTCTATTATTAGTTCTGCACAGGAAGACATTTTTCCAAATTCATTCCTATAAGTCTTGGGTACTTTTCAGATTCTCAAATTAGTTTTCATAACGCTGTATTGCAATGCCATATTCCAGACTGTGCCTGCCTTATTTCTGAATTTTCTACCTAAAGAATCTGTAAAATATTCTTCAAAAAGTTTTTTGAATGAATGAACAGAAAACTTTCATCTGCTGTTCAGCATTCAAAAGGTTTAATCAACATTCCCACATCCAAACCCCCTCCCCACCCAGCCTGAATCTATTCAAATGCATTCAATTACTACAGAATTGGAAACAGATAAAAAAGCTGTATATGGATACCAAAATAAAAGAAGATACATTCTACAATTTACAACAGCACAACTGATGTGTATGCATACACCCCCTTCTTTCCCTGATGTTGAAAACAAAAAACCAGTAACAAGAATTACAGCATAAGCTGCCATTTTTTCCAGAATTAAAAAAGTTCAAGCTGAAAACAGAAAGTTTTTTTTTTAATAGTCGTTAACATTTACTGTATTTACTCAAGTACCATGTGCACATTTTTTCCCAAATTTCAGAAGAAAAAAGGGGTGCGCAACATGAGTGGGTACAAAATTTTCAAGAAGTTTTAGGAAGTTGTGTGTGCATTTTACTTGATTATGATGGAGAAATTTGGAATAAATGTAAGAAGAAAACGTTTATGTACTGAAAAAGTTGAAAATATATTAGAATTTTGTTCAATTCATGCCTATAGTCAAACTTTTTGTTTTTATTTTCAAAAATTTTTGGTTTTAGATCCACTAAAGATTGAGGTGCATGTCTTACTTGGGGATAAGATTTTAGCAAAATTTCCAACTGAAAAACCCCTGTGTGCGCCTTACTTGAGGGCACCTGGTACTCAAGTAAATAGTGTACTCTAAGCTGGGTTTACTGCCAGGACTTGTAAACAACTTGGCTAGCCCAAAAAAATGTGTTGAAACAGTATTTGTCATGAGAAGATGTTATTGCATTTTTCAATAATTTTAAAAATGTGTATCCTCTCTTCCTTATTGCCGGGGCTTCTATGTGGAAAGGTGTGGTTCATGCGGGTACCTCACACACGCATTTAATGGCACCTGGTTCCAGGACCTGAATTGTGCACCTTGGCAGGCCATTGGGGTAATGTACCATTTCTCCCATGGAGACTCTGTGGCCAAGACTGCCAAGAAGCTGAAACTGGGCAAGGAGGTGGCACAACACTGGTACAACAAGTGCCAAGTTGTTGCACAGGCCCAACTGAAGGTGTGTTCGCCTCAGGGCATCCTCAACAAACGCGGCGACGATCCACAGGATGAATATGACCGGATCCACTACGTCAACCACTTTTATCAAGTAATGCCATGGTTCTTTTTTTTTTCCTCCTTATATGCATAGATGTTTCACTGTATTTTCTAACCCTCGGAGGGCAGAGGGTTCATTTCCATCCTGAGGCAAAGTTTGGATGCTTTTGGGGAGCCAAGCATTTCAGTTTGACCCAAGGTTGCTGAAATGCTCCCAGGTTGAGAAGGCCCAAGTCGGGAAAAATCCAAGAGATGAAATCTCTCTTGTTTTCAGGAATCTTCCATGCTAATCCTATACCAGGAATGCAGGAAAAAACACCACCCAGTCAGGGATTTTTTTTTTAATTTCCATCCAAAATTTTCTGCTGGATTAGAAAAAAAATGTTGGACTTTTTCCCAACTCAGGCTTTTGTACAAAAGTTGCATTTTTTTAATTCCGAGTTCTCAGTGACAAAATTTTGCAAAAATATCCCGACTTTGCTGCACAAGGGTTAATAACTGCTAAATGTTTTGATGATGAACAGCAGTCTGGTGGTTTCTCATGAATTTAGTAGAGATAATAGTGTATGCATACATGTCATATGCCCAGTTGTATTTCATGTTGTATTGTATTTTCTTTTATTTGTGTTAGCAATTTGTGCTTTCCTGCTCTGAAGTGATTAAATTGTCATTGGTTTGGTTGTGGAAATCTTGAGTGAACCTTGTGAACGCTGAAAAGCGGCAAATGAAGTGTTCTGTTCATTCAGTCATTAGTAGAAATAGTCATAAGTAATTTTCCATGGGTGTTAACAATTAAATTGACACTATCATGGGAAATAAAAGCAAAAAATAAGTTCTTTCCTGATTGAATTAATGAGCATCATTGTTGATATTTCTGCACTTTATATATTGCCATTACAGAGTAACTAAATCATGGTATGCAAAGACATAGCTAACTCAAGCCTCCCCAATTTAAAAAGACATCTCCAAGTTTGAATGAATGAACAGAAAGCTTTATTTTCTGCCTTCAGTGTTCACAAAGTTCAATCAACATTCCCACATTTAATCCACCTCCCCACCCAACCCAAATCCCTTCAAATGCATTCAATCACTTTGGAATGGGAAACCAAAAAAGCTGTATACTGTATATGGATACCAAAATGAAAGAAAATACATTCCACATTGTACAACTGTACAACTGAAGTGTATGTGTACACCCCCTTCTTTCACTGAAATTGAAAACAAATTATCAATAACAAGTAAAAAAAACTCTTGAAGTAAAAAAAATTGTTAATCTGAAATTTCCCATCCCAAATGTTGCAGACTGGGTTATTGTAGCATGGATCAAAGCTGAAATCAATCATAAATATGCTTCCAAAGTGTTATCATACAACATCCTCACAGAATGAAATAAGGTTTCATATCATCCTTCCAGAATGAAGAGATTGGTGCAACTGATGGAATGCAGGATTTGAGCAATTTTTTAAAAGGATCACTTATAGTTTAGCACAGAAAAAAAAGGGAATGCCAAGAAAGCAAAGATTTAATCTAATTTATTATAGTCAGGTTTGATGCAATACACTTTCTTCCATTCATTATTTTGAAAGCCTTAGGAAAAGTATTGAGAATAACAAACTTTTTCTGAAGCCTTGAAAAGTTTGTTGTACTGTAACAAGACTTCACTGTATGTATTTCAAGAGCTGCCCCAGATTCATGGTTGGTGGGTTCAACAAAACCGTGGAGGTGGACTTGGCACCCGTGGACAAGATTTTTGAAGGCGAATGGGGTCTCGTGATTGTCGAAAAGCCGTCTTGGCGCTGCTACGTGCTGCCCATTGATGACCCATCCCAAGAGTCTGTCATTGTCACTCTCCGTGGCCGCGTCCGAGAGGGTTCCAAGGTCTTCTGCCATTTCATCGAACCTACTGGCAATAACAACTCAAGCACTACCCAGACCAGCAACAACAACAACAACAATACCTCGACAAAGTCGACACCGAAAGGCGCGTTGTTATTTGACGTCAATGACTACGGAGAGCTCGTCGTCGACCCCGAGGGGAAAAGGAAACGATTGACATTCACCGAACCCGTCATCAAGCACGTGATCGAATCGCTGAACGGGGAACTCGTTGACGAGCCGAACAAAGTGCAAACGGCGCTAGTGCAATTCATGTGGTTGAAGGCGTTTGTCAAGAATGTCGACGGCAGTCTCGGTGTCGGAGGATCCGCTGCTGCTGCTGCTGGCGGCGACATTGAACCCTTCCTCACGTTTGTTGCGCACGTGGCCAAGTTTTTCGGTGTGGAGGCCGGAAGGAAAACCCCCGCGAAAAAGATGACTTATAGAATCGACGGACATGACAGTGAAATTGAGAGGGAAGTGGATGATGACGAGGAGGGCGAAGGAGGGAGAGACCAGGATGCGGTTTTGCAGGACTTCGGCGGCGTTTCTCCGAATGACTCTGACGTTCCGACGCCCAACTTATTGGCTGCGGTTGCTTCTTGATGTGAACAGATGTCGCTTGTTGTTTGAGAAAATGCAAGTTTTTGGTTACCCAACAATATTCGTACTGTTATTTTATTATGCCACGCTGATTGCTGCTGTTGTCTCGTTGTTCAGGCTCCTAAATAAGTGACTAATGATCGAAAAACAAATCGCACCTATTCTAATACCGTATACATCAATGGCAAATGTTCGTGATGGCAATGTGCATGCTTTTACATGTACAGTATATTCCGGCAATTTTTTTTTGGCGATGATGCTGAATTTGAAGGCTGATGAAAATATCAATTGTTGAGAGAAAAATGCATGTTTGCATGTCATAAATGTTATTAAATAAAATATATAAAAAATCATTTCGTAAGGTTTCCTGTATATAGCAGTCTTTCCTAGGATTTTAACCACAAAACCCTGTTACCCTACCAAATTCAATTTTAATTTGATTTTAGGATTTCAAAACTGATCTATGTGTCGATTGTGCCAGCTCGGTAAGAACAAAGAAGACAATTGCTTCAAATTTGAAGTTATGATGAGTCTCACGTGAACCTTAGAACTGACCAAAATGTATGTGAAGGAAGGTAAAATTTATCCAACATAAAATCTCCCCAATAAGCCAGGGAAACCGTTGAAAGGTTGTTTTGATGACGTCCGCCTTTCCATGTTTCATTCTCCAATACATTTTTCTCCTTACCTTCCAAACAATCACATGCTCAAAAAATTATCTGATTATCGAAAAATTGGTTTTTTAAAGTCATCAGAAAGAAAGAAGGACAAAAATAGTTTCCTGGCTGATCTGTGAAATCCTGAAAATTGAAAAGTGCTGAGAATTTGTTGTGGCTGATGTGAGAAAAATGTCCAATATCAAGCTTGCTTTTTTTCAATTCTTCTCAGAAAAAGGACCCAAAGCCACGGTAATTCTTCTTGGCAGCCGAATCAAAACCTCATCAAAAACAATGATGAACCAACGCTGGGATTTGTCATTTAAACTGTTGGGCAACTAAGATGAAGCCCTATAAAGACAGAGAACCTTTGACACATCATTTGTTGACTGCAATTTGGAAAATGCCCAAATGCCCCCCAATGACTCTTCCACATATGTTGAGGATTCTAAATAAGAAAAGATCTCAACACAAATTTAGAAGAAATAAAATGTAGAATTAGGTGAGGTTTGATAAAGGAATAAAAATGCAGAATCCGCCCGGGACAAGGCAGGGAATCTCCTGTCAGATTCCAAAAATAAAAGAACTAAATATATTTCTGAAATTTTGTACAAGTCCCAAAATATACACACACAGATTTGTAACATTTGAAGTTTTTAGATTTTTCCTCTCAGCAAAACTCTTTGACATGCGGAAGATGCTCCGAGCATCAAGACTGGTAGTGATTTACTATTGAAATCGGGCTTTTATTAATATTTTGATTTGTTCTAGATTTTTCCTTGGTCCAGGATGTGGATCAAGGACCGGGGTTGGCGCCAAGGCGTCTGATTGGCTCAACAAAGTTGAGTTGAAGACGTCTTGGCGCCAGATTTCGATTTTTTTGGAGGGGGTAAAAAGTTCGTTAGAGGATGTCTCTGGTGGTTTTTTCCTCTTGGGTGGTTTTCCACCTGATTAATTTCTGTTCCCGCCGCGTTTGGGAGATTTATTTATTAATTCATTAATATTTTATTGTCTAGTCCCCAACAACATATGCCCCTCACTTTGAATCCTCCGCCAAACAAGTAGGAAAATTGATAGGGTAGTGCAGCCAAACGTCAAGAGACGACTATGAACGTTGATGGGTGCAAGATTAATGTGAGAAAGCCCCGGTATTAAAAATACAGTTGTGGGTTATCTGGATCTTCCTCAGGTTTTGTTGGAAATGGTAATGGGGATGACAAAATCAGGGGTGGCTGGAATAACGTCGCCAGGCCCAACCTCGTCAGCCAGGAATAATGTTGTCACGAATTAAACTCGTCGTGGAATATCTTCATCAGGAATAACATTGTCTTTATGTTCTACCTGAGATGTTGGGACTTGAGGAATTTTTTGCTGTACGAAGTTGGTCCAGTTGTGAAGTGCCGAAAGATTTTTTCACGAATTTGTTCCAGGATAGGCTTGACAACAGTAATCTGGTGTTGGAATTACGACGTTATTCCACCATCCCAAAATTAGGGATTAGATTGGCACCAGAAATGCGTTGAAACTTCAGGGAAAATCCGGAGTCCTGTGGGACCAAGTTTGACATTGAGTTCCCAGGAATCCTTGGGGAAAATTCTATAGAAAGATAAATCCGTTCAGGGACAAAACCCGTTCAGGTACAAAAATTGAAAAGGAAATGCATTCAAATACTGAACAAAATTTACGTTGTGGCATCAGTTGCCTTTGGTTTGTCTTACGCAAAAGACTGCTTACAAATTTGTTGTCTAAATCTTGAAAACTCTTCAAATATACCAACCTTACACTAGGGTATAAAGCACCCTGGCCACAGCCCAGCTGATTGCTCTCTCTCAAGATTTATTTCAAACCTCAAAGTTCAAAACTCAAAAACATCAAAACCTTTAAATCCATTCTTAACAGGTTTCACGTCTGCAGAGTTCCTTGCCCCGTTCGTTTGGAATTCCTGGAATTTTGTTGGAGACCGTCTATGACTTATACGGAGAAAAATTTGTTTTAAAACGCCCAAATATTTAAAATATGTATTTGTAAGCATGTTTTATTCATTTTCATAATCTTCGCTAGGAAATGATGCCTTAACAACAAATAAGCATTCGTATACTCTTCATTAAAGTCAAACCACGAACCGCCCGAGAGACAGGAGAATAATTCAAAGCACACGCGGTTGAAGGAAATTTCAAAAATTGCAAAAAAAAAACATAGAATGAGAACAATGACGAAAGAAATGAGAAAATTACACACACACAAAATAACGAGGTAACCAGTAATTCTTTCGGCAGCCACGAAAATGGGTCGTCGTTGGTCATTCAACGACATTACAAAAATTTTTCAAACATATTCTTTGTGCTGATTGCATGTATATGAGGACGCCACAAAAATGCGGCGTCCCGACGCTCACGGTTTATTGTCCTCGGTTGTATCAGCATCCACATTAGCACCAGCTGACCTGCTCGAAGCAATCAACGGAAAACAGCATTATTAACGATTGAAGAATTTGAATTTGAATAAATTTCTGCACATTCAGTTTAAAGTTGACTCCTCCTCCATACAATGTTCGGCTGAGAAAAGTGAGGAGAAAATGAACCGAGAAAGTCAATGATTACTGATGCAGTAATAATATGAATTAGTTTCATTTTGAGTATTAAATTGGGTCGACAGTGTCGACACCTTCGGAAAATGTGCGCCACACTGAGTTCAGTATTTATACAGAGCTAGGAAATTGAATTTTGACTCTAAAATTTCGTCGTACAGCTCATTTCATTCTTCATATCCCTTTCCTTCTCATTTCGTTTAACAATCTCGAACTGTTGAAATACAAACACGCGAGTTCTTTTTTAAATCTCCATTGACGCATCTTTTAATCATCAGTAGAGTGTCTGTCAAGTTCCCATGAGGAGTTATTGGGGCTAAACGTATAACACATTGAGAAATTCTGACACACAGGGTTAATTAGCTACACAATAACCACATCTAAAGGAATTAAATATGCTCATGGGAATTGTGCACTACTACTTCAAGTACAGTGAGACCCTGAGATGCAGACATAATTGGTGCATCAAGAGTGTCCCTAAGTCAAAATGTCCATAAGTTGAGTCTCATTATCCCTTAGAATTACATTATATAAGTTTTAATTGGTGTTTTATTTAAAAAATACTTACCATAATTCCATGAAAATAAAAATTTGTCTCCCTATTTAAACTGATTCCAATCAATGTATTCAAACACAATATGGACATTTGGGGAATTGAATACTGATACCTTGTCTGTACAGTACATATAGAACTGTTGGCTGTAAAAATAATATTCAAGTGAAAAAGAGAGAAGGAAGTTCCTCTCTGCTGGAGGGGTTTTTTTTTCAAGTAGCTAAATGGATGGTAAATTGGTGAGAGAAGGCCCGAGAACTTTTCTTACATCAATTTTAGGGTTGGAAATATCTGATTCTTGTAATTTGACCTGAAATGCATTTGAAATTTTAACACAAAATGTCCCTATGTCAAGTCAGTGTCCTCATGTTGGGCCCTTTTTATTAAATTTTATGAGAAAATAAGTGTCCCTATGTCAACTTGTCCGCAGGTTGAGGTGTCCACATGTGGGGTCTCACTGAATTTTTTTGTCAAGTTGAATCATTTTTTCAAAAAAGATACGAAAATTTACATACCGTAGGTCCATTTAATATTTGTGTAATTGAACTAATCATGGAATGTAGTGGTAATTATCATAATAATACATTTGAGAAGATTCTCACCCCCGATTTTTGCTGGAAGAGGTTTCAGAGTCCAGGTGTTCGCCATTGCTGGAGGAGTTTGTCGTGTTACTAGCAGTTAATGGCTCCGTGATGACAATTAGCTTCTTTGGCTTGACCCTCAGCTCCTCCATCATACTGCTCAAACGATCCTCTTGCTTCTTCTGTGAAAAAAAGACAGACGCTAATTAGCTAATCAATATATACCACGCATGTAAACAAAAGTTTGGAAAAAACTAAAACTCATCTCAGGTGCAGGTCCAATCATTCCAGGATTTCTAGCTTTTCTGTGGTTTTATTATTTACCAACCTGTGGCTCTACACAGTATTCAGTATATTCTTATGCATAGTTATATCTACAATTGGAAATTAATATACGTGGCATTATTTTGAAAAGCTTGAGCCAGACTAAAACACTTTTAGAAAATATAAGCGTTTTGCACACTCTTTTGAAAAGTAAGGCAAAAAATATTTGTGTAGCAGCCATATATGCAGGCCAGAGTAGGGAAATTGGTGCACACTGGGGATATGCCTTTAATTCTATGAAGTGACCCTGCTGTGCACCTGAAGTTTCCTGAAGTACTTCTTTTGCACATGTATATCCCTAATGTGCACCAATTGTGTGTTCACACCAGGATTACTCAGGGTCACCTTTGTAAACAAATACTGTAATCTGCACCAAGGTTACAGTTGGTGCATTTGAGTGCTGCTCCTGTTATGTCACATTTGTGCACCAAATGTAGCCCTGGAATATTAGCAAAATTTCATCTACAGAGGTATACATGCTCGTAGTTGTAACCCCAGAATAGCCAATGTACACCAGTGGTGGGGTCACACAAATAGCTCCACACTCAGGGGGTGCTGCTGAGTGCTGACACAATATTGTGCAAATTTATTCAATCCTTTGTTGAATATCCCCAAATCCTGCATACTGCAGTTCAAATTTTTTCCAACCATTTTTAAATCTAGCAGAAAGTACTGTGAAGTCATTCTCAACATCTGACATAATTCAACAAGCAGCGATGGTTCAATCACTGTACCTTTTATTTTTAATTCGAACCTGCAGCACTTCAGTGAAATTATATTGTTCAGAAAAGAAAGAATTCACTCACAGCCCTGACTGCAGCAGCAACTCTCGTAGACAAGGTTTGAGAAGTAGGTTGCACAGGAGAGTATAATCCGGGTTGTTGGGTGTATTGCCCAAACGCAGCATTCCACGGGTCAGCAGCCCACGAGTTCCCGGCGACAAATTGTTCATGCAGCCAGACTTCAGGCGACATCTGTTGCAACTCAGCCGCACTGCAGTTCAAAAAAGAAAGAGCTCGTAACTCTGACAAGCTTTGCTGATTTTTTCTTCGTGTACCTCTTGCAATTTATGACACAAATTGTAAAGAAATGGGGAAACCTCGAAAAAAAATGCGGACCACGTGATGGTCAGAATAAACAACTATAAATTATTTTTGGCCCACCCTGGCCACTTAAACTAAAAACCTATTCAAAATACTATTGGCTCTTCTGTTTCAAGTCTACTCTTACTTTTTCTTGAAACGTAAATGGCTTTTTGAAAAGCAGTTGGTACACTTGAATCTCTCTCTTGATCACATTTTCAAAGACAGAGTTTCTCAATTTGTTTTTCTTCAGGAAGGTATGTTAATTCAAATTTTTCTGGACAAATTATCAATACTTCATGAATGAATGAATGAACAGAACACTTAATTTGCCACTTTTCAACGTTCACAAGGCACAACCAAGACCCACATCCAAACCCCACCCCCTCCCCACCCAACCAAAATCCCCTCAAAGACATTCAATCAATCAAAGCAGGAAACAAAGCTAAAGTTGATGACAAAAATAAAAGAGAACACAATCCACAAAATAAAACTGGACATCCATCATGTATGCATACACCCACCCATTTCCTGACATTGAAAACAAAGGAGCAGTAAAAGTGTATTTAAAGCACAAGGTCTTCAGCTTGCTTCTGTATGATGTTTATAGTTGAATGAACAATTCAGAGAGAATCTCTGATGAGAAATCATATACGGCCAACAGTTTATCTTGATCCTTTAAGATTTCAGAAAGTGTCTTCATTGAATTTCAGTACTTTTAAATCTTTCTTAAGCTCATTTCTATCCATATGAAATGAAATACTTCATCTCTAGTGGATGTTCCACCTGCAGGAAGATGCCTTATCTTCTGAAGAGAGCAAAATGAAAATATATTTTTGTGTTCCACGCATTGTTTTCTGGGACACATTTTCTAAATTGTAGCCCCAATTTGATAATAAAAATGCGGAAAATTTCACTATAAGGGAGTCAAATTCAACTGAAATAAACTGAGCAACCTGTGAGTTGGATAGCTTTGAATTACATATGGGAATTGAAAGAACTGCTGGACAGTAAAGAAATAAAAATCATGATTCTACACTTTTGCTCAGCCAAGTTACACTAAAAAAAAAAAAGATCCAACAGTAATTGCATCACATGCCTTGCTTGCGTATTTGATCGAGAGATTCAACTTGGGAATAGAAACTTCACCATTGTTGTTGTTGCTGGGCCTGTTTGTTGCAAGCGTTGCCAGCAGCGTTGTTGGCGTGCTGTAAGGCAGCAGCCACAGCCATGGCGGCAGAGCATTGGGCATGGTCCGCAGCAGGTGACCAAGAGGCCATCGGGCCAGGGACGCCATAGGCACTTGCAGCAGCAGACGTCAGGAGACACGAGCCAGCTGCCGGACACGACGCGGCGCCCGGCGGCGGCGGCGGTGGCGCCGCAGACGGCATGAAAGGAGAGTACATGGCAGCTGGGTGCATCTGCGCGCCAAATGGCCACGGACTCCTGTCGAGGCAAAATGCGAAAGGAAGTAAAATAAATCAGGACACTGAATAATAAATAAATAAAAATATTGTAAAACGCTTCTAAGCAATACTCCCGGAAGTATACAAAAATAGCATTTTGGTAAAATTTCCATTTCTTCCCATAAAATTTACTGTACATCAGTCAAACCCCAATAGGACACCACCCTTTGTCCAAAGCAGTTTTGGCGGTTTAAAAGGTTTGGCAGTTTATTGAATACAGTATATCATTTTAAATTATTCAATCAAAAATACTTAATTTTCCTCCAAAAGTCATAGAGATGCAGCTTTTCTAGAAACTTCAGTAATTTTTTCAAAGAGTGCTGTATTGCCGTGATCAATGGATTACTCTTTCAGATAATTGATTTTGCTGCAGGAACTCATCTTTTGAGTGGAGAGTAAAACTCTGCCAGGGTGAATTTTGCAAAACATTCACACAAAATTAGTTGAACAGGGCTGATTATTTTGTGTGTGCCCACGAATATGTTTTCCCCCATAGAATTTTTTTTCAGCTCAATTGAGCGCCCAGTTTAACCCTTGGGACAGCAGCAGCCTCCTTTCCATCCCAGGGCAAAGTCAGATTATTTCCCAATTGGCCTGCATGACTTTTTTGCACAAGTTTATGCAACCCCTGCCAGGTTGGGGAGGGCAAAGTTGGATTTTATCCAATGATAAAGAAATGCTGGGAAAGTCCTGAGTCAGACTTATTCCGTATTAACCTCCAACCTGGGCTCCTGGCTTTCAAGCTTAAATTTAATCTTTGAATGGGGAAACAACACAAGGCCAGGGAAAAAAGGAAGCCTTAAAGTTTTCATTTTTTTCATTTTCGGGTGAAATTTTTCTGTGGAAAATTAAAAAAAAATGTCAGGATTTTCCCCAACTTTGCCCTGCTCACACTGTTAGGGTTTTTTTAAATTCCGCTCTTGAGTGCAACCAAAATCTTGCAAAAAAAAGTCCGACTTTGCCACAGAAGGGGTTAATTCCTATTCCGAGAACTCTTTCTTAAAACCCTCGTATATACCTGGCAGCAGCAGCGGCGGCAGCTGCAGCTGCAGCAGCCGCCGCCGCCGCAGCTTGGGACCGGGTGTTGTCCTCGCTGAGGTCCTGCAACAGGTCCGGGTTGTCCTCGTCAATCGGCCCATCTCGACGCACGGTCTTGAACGCGAGACGAGCCCGGAGCAGCACTCCGGTTTCGGACAGCCGCGTGTTGTTCACGCCCTTGATGGCAGCCAGTGCCTCCTCCTCGCTGGACATCCTGTTTGGGATTTATTCGAAACGCGACAACAACAAAAATTCAAAATTGTAGGAGTGAAAATTGTGATACTGTGAAGTTCTGGCATTCAAAATGCCTCGTTTTAAATTGATTTTAACAATAAATTAATAATTTTCTATGGAAAACATGAAAAATTAGTTCAATTCGTCAAAATTTTGATTCTGAAGCATACAATTTTCAAAATGCTCCCTTTAGAGGATGTTAGGCAAATTCTAGGACCAGAAATGCAGGTGCGCATCTTACTCAAGGGGGCGTGGTACTCAAGTACAAGAAATATGGTACACTTGAACCTGTATAAGCCACCACCATTTTCTTTTTTTTTGGCTTTGTGGTAGTTTAAGGGGATTATGGTTCATAAAAAAACTTCAACATAAAAATTTAGTAGAATGAAAAAAAGCTCAATCTTCTGAGAAATAAATTATTGTATCTATAGCTAATGTTCCCAAGAAGTAAATTATGTCATCTTTGGGTTTGAGTTTTATTTTCTTAATTGGAGACCTCCTGCAGAAACATCCAACCAGGCCATTGAAATAGCTATTTCAAGCTTCACTGAAATTGTTAGTTGTGCCAAGATCATTGAGCACAGCCTGATGAATGTTCCACTTCTGTGGCGGAAATGTTGGGGGTCGTCTGGTGAAAACAACTGGGGCAATTTTTCTGGGCACTTGACTTGATCGTCCCAAAAATGGAAAAATCCCACCATTTGGTTACTAATTTGCTGCCTGAAACAAGACCCTGCATCAGTTGCTACAACGCTGAAGAAATTTGACAAAGATGGTGTCATTCCACATAAGCAAGTGTCGACTTTTGAGAGAGATCGCCAGAAAAACTGCGTCAATTGTGCAAAGATTATCAAAGCCGACTTATTGAATGTTCAGATTTCTTGGAAAATATTTCAAAGACTCTTGATTTTTTGTAAATAAAACTTTTTCCCTTCTTTTTTTTATTCTTTTGTAATCGTTTGTTATTTGTTTTGTTTCATTTTTTTTTAATCAATGTTTTTCTTCAAGTGCTCATGTACTTCCCTCAATCAGTAGCAAAGTAATGAAGTTTAACCAGCGGCGACTACCAAACTGACTACCGAAGACAACCAGTCCTGAAAAAAAGTTCGGGCGGGGCTTTCGTTACAGCTGTGCGCGGGTATGGCGGGGATTTCGTGTCAGGGCTATTGTCGCGCGGGGCTTTCGTGTCCCGGGCTTTCGTCGCCCGGGGACCCCGTTACAAACCCATAAGTACAGTTGCATAATGATATTTTGTTTTGTCAAATTTAAATTTCAATATACAGTACAAGTGAAGTTGTTTCAATATACAATAGAAGTGAAATTGAGGTTCTATATTGAGAGAGGTAATTCCTAAACCTTGGAAGGAAACCCCTTGCACTTTCACCATTTCATAATCTGCCATACCGTATTTGCATTCATCCCAGGCAGTTGGAAGGAAAACTCTGAGAAAATTTCTCAATTTTTGAAGTATATGGGATTTTTGTACCTACAGGATTTTTGGACCCCGTGAGATTTATGGGCCTACAGGATTTTTGGCCTGACGGGATTTTTGGGCTGCGGGATTTTTTCTCCTACGGGATTTCATCATGGAGCCATCTTGGCTATACATGGATTGACCCTTGGTTAACAAACTTGATTGGTTCCAGACAAAAGTTTGTTGAACAAGCATTTCATCGACCCAGGGCCCATTGTACTGTTGAACCTTTAAGTAGTCTAAGAGAAAGATCAAGTCAAATACCTCCATAACTAGAAAAATTTACAAGTCCCTAATGTCTGAATTCCTTTGTGAACAATGCATTGAAAACCTTTCTATATCAAGTTTTTTCACCAAAACCTCCAAGTTGGATTTTCTGAGGCTTTTTTTTCACTATTTCCTTGAAATGCAGAAGAGGAAATCAATTAAACAAACAATTTTATGCATCTTAAAAGAAATTTAACAACCAATTAAGCAAATGAACCCCAGCATCCAAATTCAGAAAGCTGTGGACTCATCAAGAAGCAAGTTTAGGCTCAGAATATCCTCATTAACAATTTCCTGCATTTTTTTATCTTATCCTCGCAGCAAAAATGATTTGATTCCTTGAATAAAACCTCCCAAAATTGAAACCTTGAGGCAAATTTTTGGTACTTTCCTGTTATCTCAGTACCTACTTTCCTGTTATCTCAGTACCTACTTTCCTGTTTCAGAATGTGGAAAAATAAAATTCACAGTTTCTGGTAGGTCATTGTGATTATAAACTTGTCCTAAAGATTTGTCTGGATGGTAGTGCGGTCTAGGAATGAGGTACTGAGATAACAGGAAAGTTTCAATTTTTCGTCCTGGTCCCTAAAAATTCGAATTAGAGAAGTTCAAAACTGTACAAGGTTCGACTGTATTTCGAGATGCCTCAGCATCATCGAATTATTGCCAATATTCAAGAGTAAAGTATGTAAATTCACACCTGGCAAAACCGACGCCCTTGACGCCCTTCTTCCGCCAATGCTCCCCCACCAGGATCCTGCTCGACACCACCGTGCCAAAGCGACTCATGAGCTCGAAAAACTCCTCGTGCGTCATGTCCATGGGCAAGTGGGCCACATACACATTGGTCTCGTCAAACTCCCTGGACGGAAACTGCTGCTTCTGCTGCGCCAACCTGGCCCGCTCCTGCAACAACTGCTGCTGCATCACCAGCATCTGGCCCTGCAGCTGCAAATACTGCTGCTGCAACTGATGCACGGGTGCAGCAGCTGCAGCCGCCGCCGCAGCAGCCGCATGCACGTGATGATGCTGTTGATGATGATGATGTTGCTGTTGTTGTTGCTGCTGATGATGATGATGATGGTGGTGTTGTTGCTGAGACGAGGCGGCCGCCGCCGCAGCTGCTGCAGCCGCCGCCACAGCAGGAGAGCTCGGGAACATGGAAAACCTCGGATTCGTCAAGTCGTTGCCGGCCTTTTTCCGCTGCTGCTGGTGACGTTGAGTCGCTGCCGCCGCCGAAAGAATGCCGCCGCCATCATTAATATTATTATCGGCAGTATCGGTTTCCCGGTGGTGGTCGGCAATCAAGACCGCCTCGGCCCGCGCGTGTCGTTGAGTGGCGGCTGCCAGGCCGGAAGTGGCGGCGCTGAATTCCTCGCCGTGATGCCCGGGTACGTTGCCTCGCTGATGCTGCTGGGGGTTGCTGCTGCTGCTGCTGCTGGACGCCGCCATGCACGCTGTGTTTCGGGGGATCGATAAGTGATGATGGCAGCAAGTATATATATATATATATATAGATGAAATCAAATCCGGTCAGTCTTTGATTATTTGCTGGTGATGATGATGATGATATGGAGGTGCAGCGAGAAAAACAAAGTACGTATAAACGCCCGTCTTCGTTTTTTTTTGGTCCTTTGATTGATTCTTCGAGCAAAAAAAGGAAAAAAAAGAAATTGCGTCTTCCCTCGTTGGACTAACGAAAAAAAACGGGCTGCATAAGAAAAGAGACTATACGTAAAAGGGATAAATTACCAGATACTGTGTAACGGTTCAACGGTTCATCGGAGTGAGAAGTATGATGCACTCTAATTTATTTTTTTCGCATTTCTCGATTGCTTGTGCTGGAAACTGGTGAAAACCTTCATTGGTTGCATATATGCTGATGATTATATTGCCCTTGTATACTGTATTTTATTGATGGACGCACAAAAGGTTGATGAAACTCTTTGATATGTTTCCAGCCTCTATGTGCATATAGGTAACCCTTTCAAGTGGAAGTTGAAAACTGTTCGATCACTTCCCAAACGCATTCAAAGATGCGTCATTCTTGATAATGCACGGATTTCTGAGCTTTTGTCAAAATATTGATTTACAGTGTTTGAACTGGGAGAGAAATGCATTTTCAGTATTGGTTGCTTGAGTTGCAATATGTGTAAAAATGGCTGTGATGAAATAAGGGACATCATATCTTTCCAAAGACTTCTTCATCTCCTGATTTTGCTTTCCAGAGTGCCAGTTATATAGCTGTAAATCGGAGAACAAATATGACTGCCACTATAGTGTGGCCTCAAGATGCATACATAATCCATGTTTGGACCTTGTCCTTATGTTGGAGCATCCAGATAATGGATCACTTTCTTTTTTTTTTACATAGAATTCAATGGAAGCAGATTCAATTGGTTCTCCTCTTCATCAAAAGATAAGAATAAAATCCCAGAAATATGAATAAACTTTTTTCTCAACTTCATAAAATGCAGAAAATAACTGTGAAGAAGAAAACCACACAGAGTTCTGATCTTCTGGCATCAGAAGTAGGTCAAGAAACAAAGAATAAGTCTAGCTATACTGTATACTGTACAGGTGGTACCTCACAATTCAACATCCTGCAATTTGTCTGACCTGCAATTTAATGGACAAATTTGCTGGGATGTCAACTTGCAATTCAACTTGTGCCCCACAATTTGACCTACATGGAGACCCAAAACATCAATTTCAATGTACAGTATAATACAGTACATTGAATTTGATATTACAGGTGGTACCTTGCACAATTTGACCTCCTGCAATTCAACCTCCCACAACTCAAGCATCCTGCCATTTGACAGTTGAATTTGCAGGGAGGTTGACTTGCAATTCAACCCTTGCCCCACAATCTGACCTGCTTTGCCTACTGGCTACTTTTTAAATTTATTTTTTACCTTATATTTTTACATTTCACAAAGTTATGTCTTGCAATTTGACCCTAGTTTGGCAACTGATTGGCATTGAATTGCAAGGTACCACCTGTATCTTGCAATTTAACCTTTTCACAATTTGACCCTGGCCTGGCTATGGATTAGAGTTGAATTGCAGGGCACCACCTGTATTTTGCACACATTATTTGGGAACACAATTTAAAAAAGGGATGAAATTAGCCCGTTATTGATTATGACTTACAGAAATGTATACAGTGTTGAAATTTATTTTTACAATTTGTCAATATAAATACAGTAGCTCTATTTCTTCAAGCACTATCAAATATTAGAAAATCAACATACAACAGCAGTCAACTGCGATTTTCTTACGAAATTTTTGTCGAATTGGACTTGGTGAGCAATTATATAGATGCTGTGTAATATACAATAGAAACATAATCAGATGAACTTATTGCAGCTGTATACGCTTTCCCTAAAAAGAAAGAAAATTCGAAAAATAGCTGGCATATATAGTAATCTTACTCATGCTGGCGAAGAAAATCGCGAGCTCATCGGACTTTTCAAGGAGATAAACGAGGCGATTTGAAACCTAGAACAATAAAAAATGGATTTTGTCAATAAGAACAGCTAGACAGCAGATCGATCAGGAAAAATACATCTTACATATATATCTAAAAAAAAAAAGTAGCAGCAGCATGGTTACAAAAAATTATCGAAAAAAAGTACTGTATCAGTCAAACAGCGCCATCGCTCCTGCTGATCACCTCGAATAATTTGAGGTTCATCTTGAAGGCGAACGGAGTTTGTTCCATCGGAGACCCCCGGAAATGCGCCAGAAAATCCCCTTCGTCCTTGATCTTCTCCAACATGACCGACTGCGAAACACTTTCTTTCCACGCAGGACCCAGAAAATTCTGCCAATTGAGTCCTCGTTCCCCTTTCTGCAGCTGTGTTTTGGCAGCAAACAAAGTTTGCACCGACACAATCACCGGCACTCCAATTTCTTTAAACAACCGCGCGGTCAGGGAATAATGATTGATCATTTGATCCCTGGGTTTCGTCCAATGAAACGCCGAGATACTATCCCAGACAACCACGGCAATGTCCGGCTTAAGAATCAAGGCCCTGCGCAACTTGGACACGAAACTACCGGCTTCTTCCACGCTTTTCAGGCGTTTCAGTAACAATCTGCGCATCGAGGACATGACGAGGGCTTCGAGGTCTTTCCCACTAAACGGTTTCACTGCTCGGCCCTTGAACTTCCCTTCGACACGAGCCACAAGCATGGAAGCCACGGTGCGGAGACTGAAGTCATAATCGCAGTCGACCAGAAGAACGCTCGTTTCCAGACCATCCAGAGGCACTCCGCAGAAATCTTTCGGCAAGATGCAGTTGCACACGAAGTGCGACAGGAACAAGGTTTTGCCGGCACCCGGGTCGCCTTGGATCTCCGCGATTGTTCCCGGGGTTAGCTGGGAATTGAAGAGACCCGAACAGGCTTCGGTGACGCTCTGGCGCTTGAAATTCCGCGAGAACCACTCTGAACCCGACTCACGGGTCACTTCGTCTTTTTCCGCCATCTATCTGAAAGTAGGAAAGATGTCGCATGAAGCCACTATATTTCAACGCTTGAGAATGGAACGAAAAGCGAAGAATCACGAAGCACTCGGAAAATGAATCTTGATCAATTTTCATATACTGTACTCGCGTCGATCACAATTCGCAAACAACAAAAAATGCAGTATCCTTCGAAAGTCGTTCGAATCGCCTAAAAATCTTCACCATTCCGACAACAACACAAATACAGTATAGCGTTTTTGAGAAGACCATTTAATAAGCAAAAAGTATCCCGCTCTATTTTTTTACAAACATGACAAAAATGCGAAATCAAGATTTCGTGCATTTCCGGCAGAAAAAGTGTTCCTTTGAGAGATACATTTCCGGGATTGTATTCATGATTAATGAATAGCGTAAAAAAGCAAGGAAATTATGCGGCTTAAGAAATTAAGTCTTTCAAATTAATAATATTTTCTTCACACTTTTCCTCAATGATGGAGAGCGCGATAAAAGTGAGAATTTCCGAAGAAAATGGGGTCGATGAGATTGAGGAAAAAATCGCCAAAGATTTTCCGAGTATATTTTGCAATAAAATCTGGAGTGGACAAATTCTACAACGAATTGTATGTGATCACCTAAATAAAGGAAGAATGCATAATTAAAATATTGATTTCTGCATGTGCTGTTCCCTGCATATTATGATATTCAACAGATCCTTTTGAGCTATTTACTGTATTTTCAATTGTCTTTCAGCTACATAGATTTGCTATGAAATTGAAATTATTTTCCCGAATCATGTACTGTAACTGGGAGGAAATCGATCAACATGAATCTGTTCGCACCCAAAATTTCGTGGTGATTAACAGAATTTCCGAAAAGCCCATGAACAGAAGTCATTCCGCAATGAATTTTTCTAGCTAAAATAATGCCGAATTTCAGCATTGTAAAATTCTGGAAAAAGCGCTCGACGAAGTCCAAAAACTCAAACGGTGTGCATCCATCATCACATCCAACAGTCAACCAAACATCTTGCAAATCTTCAAATTTCTCAAAAAGCAGTATAAATCATAGACGCGGGTATTGGTTGAAACAGGCATCACAAAAAATGACAACAAAAAAACATCACAAATTATCAAAGCTCTGACCGATGTTGAATCATCCAATACCTCGGATAATTTCTCGGAAACTTGAAGCATAACTCCCTTTCTGCCATCTTTTCAACTATTGAAACTATACTGTGCACAATTTGCACATAATGTATATCCGATTCCAACGAAGCCCGTTTGAGAAATCTGTTCAAGTAATTCCGTTGTATAAACAGAAATAATGCTGGATTTCACCGTGAAAGACGAAGTATTACTCCAAGAGGATCAATGGCTGACAAATAAGTCAGTCATTCATCATTGAGGTTCTCGAAGCGAGACGGCTGTAAGTAAAACTCTCGGCAGAAGAACCTGATGAAGGAGCAGTTTCTTGACTGATTCCAGATTTCAGATGCCTCATCACAGTGCTGAAGGGAAGCTCAAACTTGAACAAGTTTCTGCACAAGAAAAACAAAATTGAGCGCATCACAAAACGCCACCGAAAGAGAAAGAACGCGCAAACTGAAAACGATATCAGTCAGCATGAATAAAGCGGATCATTCTCACTTCAACACAAATAACTTACATGAAACAGCAATGGATTAATCATAAGTTAGCCATACACATGTAAATAATGTACTTTTTCGTAAAATTTTGAAGCTAGATTAACATGCTGATTTTTCATTTCACCAGCCTTAATTTGAGCGGTTTATCCCTATAGTTCCTTCAAAATCATTATTCTATTCTAACAATATTTATTCCTAATATGAAAGTCAGTCATTTTTGGCCAACCATGTCATCTAATTGAATTTTTTCTACAATTCAAAATCCAGGTGAAGGAAAGGACAGCACTAAAACTATGGTAGCAATTTCCACATAATTGGGGATTATTCCTACATAAGAGCCTTCTGAATGTGTGTTTTGTATTTTTTGACTGTGTTGAGATGATTCATTTGCATATACGTTCACAACTGAATCATTGTTGCTTGTCATAACTATTCATTCAATAATTTTTTTCTCAAAAGTCAATTAATTTTTTCAACTTTTACGCTTAAAAAGTTTTTTTCTGTACAAAGGATTCATAACTCCAGCAACCAATTTTGAAGGGCAAATATTTGGTACTTTCCTGTTATCTCAGTACCTACTTTCTGTGCACCTGCCAGAAACTGTGAATTTCATTTTTCTGCATTCTGTTGAAACTGATTTTGGGAGGTGGTTAGGTGAAGTTAGGCCAGGTTATGTTAGTTACAAATATCTTTCAATTAACATAACCTTACCTAACCTAACTTTACCTAACT